TCCTTAAAGATTCTCTTCAAGGACTCTATGAAAAAAATTGTGGAAAACCTGTAGGAACCTTAAATGTGAACTTTTAAGGACATTCTGGGCTCTACTTAAAAAAATATATAGCCTTAAAAATATATATAGCAATGATCCACATTGTGTTTCTTAAAGTTCCAGATTTTGGCTTTGATAGTTCATAAAGAAATATTCTAAAAAAAGATCCATGTTCGAAACATATTCTTGAAAAATATTATTAATAGTTCTTGATCTGTCGTTGAAAAATTTTTTCCTGAAAAAGATAAGTATATGTATTCGATAGCCCTTGAAAAGAAATATTAAAGAAATTTTTCAGAGCAATCAACGTGGATTTCAGTACAATCATCGTGGATTTTTGATAGATTTCTTTTTAAGGACTCTCTGAGAAAAAAAAATTAAAGGAACCATGAACGTGGATTCCTCAAAGAATCTTTTCAAGCACTCTGTGAGGAAAATTGTGGAAAGACTGTAATAACCTCAAATGTGCAAGGACATTCTGAGCTGTAAAAAGAGACATTTTTAAAAAATATTATTTCAAGGACTTGAAAGACATAGATTTTTTGGCACTCTCAGATACAGAAACATTAGTTTTTTAACAATACTTTTTCAATGACTCTCAGGGCTATAAACAAGTTTTTTTTTTAAATGTTTTCAGAGCATTTGAAGTGGATTTTTTAAAGAATATTTTTTCAAGGGCCATTCAAGGACTATCAGAGCAGTCAATATGGATTATATACCAATACATTTATTTTAAAGGACTGTTCGAAAAAATGTTGAGCCACGTATGCCCTATTTATTTATGAATATTTTTAAGGACTTTCAGAGTGGTGAAAATTGATTTTTCAAAGAATATTTTTTCAAGGACCTTAAGGAAATATATTTAATATTTATTTATTTTGAAAGATTACTTTTTTAAGGACTTTAAGGACATAAGGACTTTAAGGACCATTAGTACAGTTAACGTGTACCATCAGAACCACGAATGTTGTTTTTTTTTTTTGATACATTTTTAAGGACTCTCTGAAACAAATTTTTAAAGGACTATAGGAACCAGGAACTTGGATTCCTCTAAGATTCCTTCAAGGACTCTAAAAAATCGTTGACACTCTGCAGAAATCACGAATGTGTATTTTTAGATATAGTTTTTAAGGACCTTCAGCTCTGTACAAATTGAATTTTTTTAAGAATATTGTATGTATAGGTTCACGTTTTAGTATAGCCCCCATATAACGGTACCTCCAGATTTTCGGTATTTTGATGATCTTTGCCACATTTTTTCACGGATTTGTCTAAAAATTGGAATTTGTTGGCCACGATGGGTTCTTGCTCCAGTGGCGAAACATTTTATGCATAGGTTCACGTTTTTGTATAGCCCCATATATCGGTACCTCCCGATATTCGGTATTTTGATAATTTTTGCCACATTTTTTCACGGATTTGTTTAAAAAAATGGTATTTGTGGGTCATAACGGGTTCTAGCTCCGGTGGCGAAACATTGAACATTTAAGTCCACGTTTTCCTATAGCGCACATAAACCGATACCCACCGATACTCGGTATTTTGATAATCCTAGTCACATTTACCCATGAAATTGTTTCAAATTTGGTATTTTAGAAGATTTGATAGATGACAATCCTTGAAGTATAAAATTGTCTCTAGAGGTTCCCGTTTTGGTATGGTCGCATATAACGGTCTCACTCACTTTTTGGTTTTTATGATAAGCTTAACTGCATTATGCAAAAGGTCTTGCTTACAGATACTTTTATATAAAAATGTTTCATTTACCCTAAGGTGGAGGGTATTAAAAGTTCGTCCGGCCGAACTTAATTTTTTTTACTTGTTTTTTTTTTAATCCATCATAACACTGTGCGAGAAAATTAATATTTTTTTAAATGATAAATGGAAAAATCCAGCAGATTATGAAAGTAGAACTAAAAAGAAGATACGTGTAAAGGCGATTAATTTTTTTTTTCAATCGAATTTTTCGATATAGAGTTGGAAATAGAGTTTCCTTTCCTTTGGTGACTTAAAGTAAAATTTGATGAAGAATATTTTTGTCTCTGACGTCATCTTTCTAAAATGATGTTTTGTTGGAGATTTTTGCACAAACTCACACAAGGTACTGCTTTAACCCAAAAATTTAAATTTAAATTTAGAATTTTTTGACAAATAATTTTGTAGAATATTTTAACTTGCCAGGATCCCATTTAAAGGGAGTTTTAACTATATTACATATAAAAAGGACCAAAAAGATTCCGTTTTAAAAGTAGTTTTTAACAATATTTTATAAAAGAAGCAAATTGACCCCTTGTTGACTCGCTTGAGGGTTAACATTTCCGCCAAAAATATTTCTCGTATTATCTGCAATATTGCCGAAGACACTATATACCTAAAATGCATGGATTCCGAGGAATCTTATTCCGAAAATTTCCAAAAGTATGAAAGAGAAGGGGGGAGGTGGACTTGTCCTCTCTATTTTGGTTACTTTTTGATTCAAACTTTCGAAAAGTCGATACACATGTCTTCTTCTTTTTTTAGTTCTACTTTCATAATCAGCTATTTTTTTTTTTTTGTTGCACAGTGTAATTTTTGGAATATTTCTCCTTCAAAAGGCTAATCTTTTTTTCTTTACAAACGAAGAACATTAAAAGCGGATGCACTTAATTTATGCCCATAAAACAAACATGAAAATTGCTGACGCCCGCCTCCTTTACCCTTTACTTTCGGCACCCTCATCAATCAGGGGGGCTCTTTTATTCCACTCGTTGCACTTATAATTCGATAATTAGCCATTCAAGTGATGCGCTCGTAATAAAGAGTTTTGACGCCTCGTTTTTTTCCTTCTACTCCTCCTGTATTTAAAAGAAAAGGCTTTGTGTTGTTCTAGATGATCATGTCTAAACACTTCAAATAATTTGAAAATTGATTGGGTTGAAAAAACAACACACAAAGGGAAAATTTGAAAATATCGCTATGCAGACAAGATTTTCAATGAAAATCTCGGCCGCAAGTGTTCAACAAATCACGTGCGTTAAATGTCTGGCACACAACCCGAAATGTTTTCGGCCCGCAGCAAATAGACAAGACAACACTTCCGCACAGAAAAATGGAGAGAAGGGGTAGGGGAGTGATTGTGTTTTTTATCAAAGGAAAGGAAATGGAGATTCCTTGGCAGTCGTTTAGATTTGTATTCTCTTTTTAAGGCTTCTATATGCATAGACATTGATTGGGAATACCTAATACGCAATGTCTATCTGTGCTTCATTTGAATATCTTTTCTATTTTGTATGGGTCTTCCTCTATTTTTTTTTCTCTTCTTTCAATTTTGAAAATATCAAATTAGTTCTCTTGGGTTATTCTTTTGATTGGAACACGTGTTCCATTTAAAACAAGAAAAAATAATATTTTGAAAAAAATGCACGAATTTTTTTATGTATGCCATAGAAAGAAGGTCTTATATCCGGTAAAGTGGGAACTTCGTTCTACTTTCTTCGTGGTATTTGATATTTTATTTGATTAATCTCAAAATGGGAACGGAAATAGAAATCTAATCCTTTTTGAGTTGGATAGGATTGAAATAATTTTAAATGTCAAAATAGTATGCGGGTACTAGAGAGAGGATATTGGAATCTTCTTTGGGAGTCTTTATACCCTACACCACAAGGTGGTCAGGGTATTATGTCTTTGTGCATTTGTTTGTAACAGGCAGAAGGAAACGAGATAGACCCATAGTTCCTTTTGATGATCTGCATAGAATCACATTCTGAGTCGATTTATGCATGTCCGTCCGTCCGTCTGTCCGTCCGTCCGTCTGTCCATGTATTTTTGTAAACAAAGTACAGGCCGCATTTATTGCCCGATCCAGATGAAATTTTGCACAGATCATTTGTTTGGCCCAAGGATGAACCCTATTGAAATTGGAAATAATCGGTCAAAATTTAGATATAGCTCCCATATATATCTTCGTCCGATTTGCCTTTTATTGTGCACCAAACGTGTAATATCAGCCCGAATTGTATGGAATTTTGCATATACACCCAAATTAGGTCTGAAAATATGTATGCCAAATTTGATTGAAATCGGTTCAGATATAGCTATAGCTCCCATATATATTGTTCATCCGATTTGTTATTTTTGTCCACCGCCGCCGTAATATGCACTCTGCAACAACAATATTTGGGGAAATATATCAAATACAGCTCAGAAATACACTTGCTAAATTTTATCGGGATCGGTTCAGATTTGGATATAGCTCCCATATATAACTTCGTCCGATTTACCTTTTATTGTGCACCAAACGTCTAATATTTGTCCAAATGGGATGGAATTTGGCACATACGACCGAATTTAGTCTAGAAGGTAGTATGCCAAATTTGGTGAAGATCGGTTCAGATATAGCTATAGCTCCCATATATATTGTTCATCCGATTTGTCATATTTGTTACCCAAAGCCGTAGTATGCACTCCGTAACAACGATATTCAGGGAAATATATCAAATACAGCTCAGAAATATATATCTTTATCCGATTTCAAATTAATTGTGCACCAAATGGACAATACAATTCCGAATTTAAAAGATACAAATGCTTCGGCATATTTAGTCCTTTGAACTTTAAATTATAATTATAATCATAGCGTGTATGTTTGAATTCTCCCATAAAAACTTTTATTTGTTATGTGGAGCTCTACTAAATTAGCAAAGTGGTGTAGGGTATCATAAAGTCGGCCCCGCCCGACTTTAAGACTTTCTTTACTGGTTTTAAATTTGGTAATAATTTTATTTGTAGAGGAATTCTGATAATATATGAAACCTGGAGTAGGTCTTTTTGTAAAAAATTACATATGGTACCTAGGTCTAAATTTTATTTGCATTTGTAGTGTTATTGCCACATGACCCCTTTCACCTGGTTCTCATATCTATAGAAAAATTATTTATCCAAATTTTTATCCCAATCTACGATTTCTTATATTTTTTCAGGTCATCTTCTACGATTCCGATTGGAATCCCACAGTGGATCAACAGGCCATGGATCGTGCTCATCGTTTGGGTCAAACTAAACAGGTCACTGTGTATCGTTTGATATGCAAGGGTACCATTGAAGAGCGTATCTTGCAAAGAGCGCGGGAGAAGAGTGAGGTAAGTAAATAATAATAAATAATAATAAAATAATAAATAAATAAATAAATAAATAAATTTATAAATAATTAAATAAAATAAATAAATAATAATAATAATAATAATAATATATAATAATAATAATAATAATAATAATATAATAATAATAATAATAATAATAATAATATATAATAATAATAATATAATAATAATAATATAATAATAATAATAATAATAATAATAATAATAATAATATAATAATAATATAATAATAATAATAATATAATAATAATAATAATAATAATATAATAATAATAATAATAATAATAATAATAATAATAATAATAATAATATAATAATAATAATAATAATAATAATAATAATAATAATAATAATATAATAATAATAATAATAATAATAATAATAATATAATAATAATAATAATAATAATAATAATAATAATAATAATAATAATAATAATAATAATAATAATAATAATAATAATAATAATAATAATAATAATAATAATAATAATAATAATAATAATAATAATAATAATAATAATAATAATAATAATAATAATAATAATAATAATAATAATAATAATAATAATAATAATAATAATAATAATAATAATAATAATAATAATAATAATAATAATAATAATAATAATAATAATAATAATAATAATAATAATAATAATAATAATATAATAATAATAATAATAATAATAATAATAATAATAATATAATAATAATAATAATAATAATAATAATAATAATAATAATAATAATAATAATAATAATAATAATAATAATAATAATAATAATAATAATAATAATAATAATAATAATAATAATAATAATAATAATAATAATAATAATAATAATAATAATAATAATAATAATAATAATAATAATAATAATAATAATAATAATAATAATAATAATATAATAATAATAATAATAATAATAATAATAATCATAATAATATAATAATATATAATAATAATAATAATAATAATAATAATAATAATAATAATAATAATAATCTAATAATAATAATAATAATAATAATACTAATAATAATAATAATAATAATAATAATATAATAATAATAATAATAATAATAATAATAATAATAATAATATAATAATAATACTAATAATAATAATATAATAATAATAATAATAATAATAATAATAATAATAATAATACTAATAATAATAATATATATAATAATAATAATATAATAATAATAATAATAATAATAATAATAATAATAATAATAATAATAATAATAATAATAATAATAATAATATAATAATAATAATAATAATAATAATAATAATAATAATATAATGTAGCAGTAGCGTTTTTACAATAACACAAATATTTTATTACTTTTTACTTTGCTCAAAACTACTTTAAATAATTTTGTAATTTATTGGAAACAGAACCTTTGTAAAATATTGTTCGTTGTAAATTTTGTCACATTTGTTTTTCGAAAAGGCCTATATAAGGAGCTTCCATAACGAACAATATTCATTCTGTTTTCATAGGTTGGTTAGGATAGTTCAATAATTTGAATAGTGGAGCAATTGGAATACGTGGTAGCTATTCGCAGCCGTTTCCTATTGTTTCCCTCTTTCGATTATTGGAAAATGTTTTGATATGAAGATAAATGTGTAAACGTGGTGACGATGGTCGCCGTTGCCTTTTATCCTAATATCATTACATATATTCTATTCATTCTGTTTTCATAGATTGTTCCCGTCTACGTTATTATTTTGTTTGTTAAATAAAGAATCGTTATTTTGTAAAAAACATTCGCGTTTAAATCCGGAAGGCTAAAACTATCTGCAATTGGCGCCCACTAAAGGATTTCAAAGGAGAAAACAACGTGCCTCGTTACAAATTGGCGCCCAACGTGTGAGGTCGGATCAACGCCAAGAAAAGCCGTGGAGAAGAATTATTATTGGATAAATCTCGATTTTTGTTCTTTCTGATTAACAAGATAAGGAACATCCTGTCTCAATCATCGAACTCTATGAATAAAGAGGTTATTGCAGAAGGGTTACGCAAAAGCGACCGGATACAAAGAAGTACAAACATGGTTTCGCTTACCACTGAACAATTTGAAAGTCTTTTGAGTGCTGTAAGTAAATCCAGTGAAAAGTGTGGTTCATTCAGCGGCTGTTCAGCACGATACAATGGCGAACGATGTTCTGTGAAAGTTGAAGAATTTATATCGGCTATAACGACATACCAGGTTGTTGAAGGTATTGCTGACGCTAATGCTGTTAACGGTATGCCAATGCTACTTCAAGGTGATGCTGCAGAATGGTGGCGTGGTGCTAAATCTAAAGCAAAAACTTTCAGTGATGTCTTAAAAATGTTACGTGAGGCATTTGCTCCACCGAAACCAGCATGGCGAATATATGCGGAAATATATGAGCAGAAACAAAGCAAAAATGAACCTACTGATACGTTTATACGTAAGAAGAGAACGTTATTTGCACAGTTGGTGGAAGTTCCAACAGAATCCAGCCAAATTGATATGATATTTGGGATGCTTCATCCTCAAATCAGGGAGCGAGTCTATCGCCACAAAGTAAGAACTTTTGAAGAACTCTTGGCAGATGCAAGGGAAGCAGAACTTACAATTCGTGAACGCGTTGTAGTGAACACTGAAACTTTGGAGAGTGGTCCTCAAGGTGGTCTAAAACGTTGCTCCTTTTGTCGGAAGAAAGGCCATACTGTTGACAACTGTTTCAAAAAGAAAAGTGTGGTTGAAGAAGCTACGTCAAATGCTAAGGAGGAAGTACTAAAACCTAAATTGGCTTGCTATGGATGTAACGAACCGGGTTTTGTTCGTGCGAATTGTCCTAAATGCAATGTTAAGCCGAAAGATAAAAGTACAAGGAACGTAAGTTTCAATTCATATGGTATGTCTATTGGTTGTGACATCCCTATGGTGAATGTTCAATTGTTTGGCGTTCCTGGACAAGCTTATTTTGATACTGGTTCTAAAACGAGCGTAGCCAGTTCCAACCTAAAGCGAATTATGCAGTTCAAGGGGTGTAAATTTGATTCAATTAAATGCAAAACAACTTTGGCTGATGGATCTACAACAAATCGAACATTTCTAACGACAACTTGCAAGATTATAGTCGGAGGAAAGAGTTTTGATATAGATTTTTTGGTTTTTCCCGAAGATAAAAACAATCGCACTCTCCTAGGAACAGATTTTATGGAGCTGGCAAATATTGTATTGAATATGGGGCAGAAACATTGGCATTTTGAAGGCTGTCCAACTGAAGTCTTTGATTTTGCCCAAGAGCTACCAGTCGAGATGAATTTGATTGAAACCATCAAAATATCGGATTCATATATAAAACGCAAGTCAGTGGTAGTAGAGGAACGAAACATAAAATCTCCATTTATAACTCCAAAGAGAAGTTGTCAATCGCATGTTTCGGACTTTGAGTCTTATGGTCCTGATTATCATGCCGAATCCGATTATTCACCACATTCAATCCAAGCAATATTCAAAGATGCACTTCCAAATGATGTCACTACCCCAGAAAGAGCAAAAGATACTGATCTATTTCCGAATGTGCGCCGTGTTAACAATTATAGTGTGGGAGATGAAATATTCACTGAACTTCACATGATTGACTTTAAAATCCTGAAAGAGTCAGATGCGCTTAATATAGATAATGAAGATAAGATTCACTTGGATAACTTGTTGGTAAAGTACGAAGGTGTATTTGCCACATCCGGAGACCCTACACCATTTGCAACTCACAAAATAAATACAGGCGACCACCAACCAATATTTTCTCCACCATATCGCATGTCGTTTGCAAAGACGGAACAGTTAAAGAAGGAGATTGAGGTTATGCTTGAGAATGATGTAATAGAAGAATGTGATTCAGCATGGGCTTCTCCTGTGGTGATGGTACCAAAGAAAGATGGATCTGTTCGTGTATGCGTAGACTACAGGAAATTGAACGCAATAACTATTCCCGATAGATACCCTCTTCCCCGAATGGACGATCTACTTCATGCTGCTAAGAGCACAACATATATGACCACACTCGATTTACAAAGCGGCTATTATCAGATAGAAGTAGCTCTCGAGGATCGGGATAAAACGTCTCTGATAACACCCTTTGGAACTTTTCGATTCAAAAGGATGCCATTTGGGTTACGAAATGCACCCGCAACCTTTCAAAGGATGATAAATCGGTTCAAAATAGGAATCCATGATGTATGTATTCTGGCTTACTTGGATGATATAATTATATGTTCAGATACATTCCAAAGACATTTACAAGACATTGAAGTTGTCCTTAAGCGATTGTTGGCCTATAAACTACGTTTGAATGCAAAGAAGTGTAACTTTTGCTGCTCTCATGTAAAATATCTGGGACATATTTTAAAACCCGAAGGTATTGCGGTTGATCCAGGGAAAGTTCAAGCAATAATAGAGCGTAAAGAGCCAAGAAACTTAAAGGAACTTATATCTTTTCTCCAAACTTGCTCGTGGTATCGAAGATTTATAAATAAATATGCAGAAATTGCACGTCCTCTCACTAATCTTACTAAGAAGACTGCTATATGGAAATGGGAAAAGGATGAACAAGAAGCATTCAACATATTAAAACATGCTTTGAGTTCTCCACCTGTTTTAAAGCAAGCCGTAGATGGCATGCCCTTTGCAATACAAACTGATGCAAGTGCTTATGCGTTAGGAGCGGTTTTATTGCAGGGGGAGGGTAAAGATGAACACCCAATTGAATACGCAAGCCGTTTATTAAGCGCTGCAGAACGCAATTATTCCACCACTGAACGAGAAGCTTTAGCCATTGTGTGGGCATGCGACAAGTTTCGTGGATATATTGAAGGCAGTCAAATAAAACTCCTGACGGATCATCAACCGCTGAAATGGCTTCTGAGTATAAAATCACCAACTGGTCGACTTGCCAGGTGGGGTTTGCAACTGCAACAATTGAA